GCGTAAATGCTGTGCTGGGTACCAGTGACTCACACCTGTAATCATAGCTACTCAGGAAGCTGAGATCTAGGAATCTGAGTTTAAAGGTAGCCCCAGGCAGGAAAGCCTACAAAACTCTTATCTGCAATTACTACCAAAATAAGCCAGAACTGTGGCTAAAGTGATAGAGCTCTAGCCTTGAGCAAAAGAGCTCAGGGACAGTACGAGAGCAGGCGCACACACACAAAAAAATAATAATAATAAAGTTGTGTAAATGCCAGAAAGTGTTGCCCTTGCAAAGTAATAAGGAAGGCACAAAGAATTAATTTGAGACCTCCTGTACAACACAGTGAGGAGAGTTAATAAAATGTGTATTTGAAAACTCCTAAGAAACAGACCATTTCAAGTCATTCACATATTAATTAGCTCACTTTCGCCATCTCACAATATATACATATTTCAAAATATCAGCTTGTATTTGTTGATTTAGAAAATTAATGATTTTTAAGTAGTTGTGTCACCAGGCATCCTCTTCCCCTAATGAGAATGGTTCTGGATCCAAATGCTCCACTCTCATTGAAAGCACAATTCTCTCTATATATGGGGAATCAATTTATTGATAATTTGGCCAACACTGAGGAGAAAAAAGTTTTTCCTCTGTCTCTGCTTTGCCCATATCTGTGTTATAACTTACAGAGAAATTAACCAACAGCCAGGAAATAGGTGCATTAAGGTATATCTATGGGCTCCAGGTACCTGAACTTGCTTGCCCACGACTATCACTCTACCATGTAAGCATGTTCCTGGTTAATTGTAAATGGAGTCTTATAGTCTTTTTTTCCCCAGGCTGGCTCAAACAGTGATCCTCCAGATCTCAACTTCCTGAGTTGATTACAGGTATGAGCCCACAACCACACACTCCTCCCCTCCCCTCCCCTCCCCTCCACCCCCACCTCCCGCCAGTGCCTGGCTAAATACTGAAATTTTCTATTCCTCAAAATCATTCTCCTAGCTCCTATTGTCCAATTTCTGTTTATCTACAAAATCATAAGAACATTAAAATTACCCACCAAAGGGTGCATAAGAACATCTGTATATTCTGGAAGGCCACAAGGAAGCAGCTGGCAATCCATATCCAGACAGAATAGGCACTAATGGTTGAGTGCTGGGACTTAGCCAGAAAGAGGTTTTCCTCAGTGTTCCCCAGGCAGAAAAAAAAAAAAAAGCCTACCTGACAGCTCAGGACATTAAGAATCTAAATGGTTAACAACTAACTGTACTTCAGAAAAATTTCCTGAGAAAACTAGCATTGAGTTCAGTCTCTTTAGGAATGTATCTATCTAGTTTAGTTTGGTCTATTTATAGTAGACAAAATTATTTCCAACTGAATATATATACTTTTCACTAAAACTGAAATTTATAATTACCCAGAGTTGAAGTACCCTGAGGTATATTTTGAGCAATTTTAGGTACTTTGGGGTTTGAAATGTATTTTATGATTATAATGACTCCATCTCTCCAGGTAAATTTAGGAAATTGCACATCTTCATTTCTGAACCTATCTTTGGCACACAGGGCATCTAGATAGTCAGGAATAGTTCTTTTTACTAAAGCAATAAGGAATAGAAAATGCCATCAGCTAAAATCTTCATAAATCAACTGGGTGTTGGTGGCTTAAACCAGTAACTCTAGCTACTCAGAAGGCTGAAATCTAAAAGATCAAGATTCAAATTCAGCCCAGACAGAAAATGTCATGAATTTCCATTTCCAAAATAACCAGCAAAAAACAGGACTAGATGCATAGCTCAAATGAGAAGTTTGCAGCCAAGTACATAAGCCAAGCAAGCAGGAGGCCCTGAGTTCAAACCCTAGTACTCTAATGGGGGAAAAGAAGATGCTTCAAAAATCTAAATATCTCATGAATTCTTTTTTCTTAACACTAGTAGAACATAGCCACTCCTTATCCAAGTCATGCATCATTTAGCAACAGAAATATATTGAGAGATGCCTTGTTGTGTAAACATCAACATACACTTACAAAGCTTAGATAGTGTGAAACACTCTATATAGCATCCTAATAGAGGATGCTACAGCTGGTGGAACAGCATACTATTTCCCAAAACTGTTTTATCTCGAAGAGTGCACTATTCCTATAATCATTCCTATAATCCTAGCTACTCAGGAAGCTGAAATATGAAGATCAAGGTTCAAAGCCAGCCCAAGCAGGAAAGTCTGGAGATACTAATCTTCAATGAACCACAAAAAGTCAGATGTAGAGTTGTGGTTCAAGTGGTAGAGTGCTAGACTTAAGCAAAAACGCTAAGGGACAGTGCTCAGGCCAAGTTCAAGCCTCGTACTGGCACATAAACACACACACATACACACACACAAAGTGCACTTTCCAATGATTAAATATAAACAATTCCAGGGTTAGTCAGTTATTACTAGCAAATAGTATGTATTCTACGTAACTGTATTGCTACACTTAAAGTATGTCTGTTTTTCTTGCTTCACCACAAACCCATGGCAATAGATCAGGCCAAAATCTTACACCATTAGGCAAAAGGAAATTTTTTTAGTCTATTTTTTTGCAAGATGGCAACGCTACATGCAGACTATCTTGACCAATCATAATGTAAACACAAAAGACTTATGTCTTTAATCCCAGCCACTTGGGAGGCAGAAGTAGAATTGGTTCAAGGTCAGCCAGGACAAATAAGGAGCAAGCTAAGCAAGATGGCAAATGTCTGTGATCCCAGCTGTGGGAAACAAAGACAGGCAGTTCAAGGTCCAAAATGGGCCCAGACAAAATGTTTAAGACTCTACCTGAAAAAACTTAAGTAAGTAGTACATAATTTAAATCCAAACACTGCTAAAAAGAAATAAATACTAGGCAAAAGTGTCCTAACACTATGCCACACCCTAGCTCTGATTCACATTTTAATTTAAAATGGCCTTTAGAGCCTTGTGCCAATGGCTTATACCTATAATCCTAATTACTCAGGAGGCTGAGCTCTGATAATCTTGCGGTTCAAAGCCAGCCCATGATACTCTTATTTCCAATCAGTCACAGAAAAGCCAAAAGTGATGCTGTGGCTCACGTGATAAAGTGCTAGCCTTGAGCATAAAGGAGTTTAGAGATAGTACCTAGGCCCAGAGTTCAAGGCCCAGGACCAAGGTGGGAAAAAAGGCCAGTAGAGTTATAACCTCAAACAATCCTATTCTCTCTCCCTCCTCAGAAGTAACTTTCATTTAAGATCAGGCTTCCTCTTTCGTAAACATTTTTTTCCATATAAACACTTCCCTCCTTCCCCTAATGGTGTAAGATTTAAGGAGACAAAAGAATACAGAGAGCCCGTCATCTCAAAAAAAAGAACATGTTCAGAGGCTGGTGATTCCTGGAGGTAGCCAGAAGTTGAGGTTCTGGGTTCTGGTTTGTTTGGTCATCCCAGATCACAGAAGTTCTAGGTTTGGAAACTAACTCAGAAACCAGCAGATCCAAGGAAAGTCCAATCTGTCTACAGACTAGGAGTTGAAGCCAGAATTTCCTATCCTGGCCACCTGTGACCCTTAGCTCCTGGGTCTGGTTGAAGCTACACCCACCTTCCATTAAATTCAAATGAAAATACAGGCACAAATCTTTAATGAACTTTTATTTGTGAATAAAAAATGATTACAATCCAGGACACATCTTTATTCGCTAGCATTAGTGACCCAGAGAACTAAAGAAATGTTGAGGGTTTTATTAATACAAAAAAAACCCTACACAAGTTTATTTATATATTTATGCATGTTTAGTAACTTAGGATTCACTTTTATTAAAACATGAGCAAATACTAAATGTTACGTATGCATTTAGAACATTAGAACACATGTATATACTTATGCTTACTAACAATTTACATTTATAAAAACATATTAGCAAATATAAAATGTTATATCTGCATTTACAACATTAAAACAACCATAAAAAACATTCAGTGTTAAGACTAACCTCCATACTAACTTCGATTTAAATACTGAATTTTATATTTTATATAAAGAACTTTTGAAATTACATTAAGTGCTTATAATATGAACTATTATTCCTTATCAAAATCTCCATATAATTTAGAAAGCTGGTATTAAAAAGTTAATTTTTATTGTATATTCTAAAGTATACCGATGTAGATTAGCCTTCAAATTTTCAGAACATGAAATAAAAACAAATACAATCCTTAAAGTGTTTAACATAGTTATAGTTTAAAATATACCAGAAGGGCTGGAAAGATGGCTCCGTGATTGAGTGCTTGCCTTTCATGCATGAGGCCCTGGGTTTGATTCCTCAGCACCACTTAAGCAGAAAAAGCCGGAAGTGGTGCTGTAGCTCAAGTGTTAGAATGCTAGCCTTGAGCACTCAGGGACAGCACCCAGGCCCAGAGCTCAGGCCCCATGACTGACAAAAAAAAAAATGAAATCAAATAAAATAAAATATAACAGAAATATATTTCGACTTTCACATATGATTTTGAATTCCATAAAGACATAAAAAGGTTTGGGGTTCAGCTTATTTTTCAGTACAACTAATACTCCCTAAATTCAACTGAATTTTTAAAAACGCTCAAAAAAATTTACATTTTATCATTGTTAAGCAATGCATTTACTTAGTAGAAAAAGATACAAGGAAACAGAAATTAAAAAATCAAACTATCTCAATTGGTAAAATAAATTTGCAAATTAAGTGATCAATGTTGCTTTAAAAAAAAACATTAAAAAATACCTTTGAACAAAAATTCACTGCCACTAGCAGTGTTAACCTGAACTGACAAAACATGTCAATTATTAAGCAAAGTTCCTCCCAAAGTCGTAGTTAAAACTAAATAAAGGGTCTCAGATTTATTCTTTCAGGTTGCTGGCTGTTTTCCTCATCTTGGCAAGGCGTATGCAGTAAACATTTGAGATTCTTTCTCCTGTACAGAAGAGGCCTGGCATGAATCGAAGGGAGGAGGGAGAAAATGGCTTGTAGAAAAAGTAAGTGCCGGTCACGAATCATGGCTGACGCCAGCATCTTCTTGAACCTTCCAGAGCACCAGCTGCAAGCAAGCGCTGGCATCCTCTTTGGAGTTGTGCCCATTCGAATTGGCCTGGATGACTTGGCTGAGGTGATGAGACATGAGATTTCTCAAGGAGCGCTTGTAAGGAAAGCCCAGGGGATGTGGGAAGAGCAGGGCCGTATCCACCACGGTGCTGTGGATGACCTTCAAGGCCAGCAGGTCGCTCTCCAGGCTGTGTCCGATGAGGATGGTATCAGCACTGAACAGATTCAGCAGGAAAGCCTGGACGTCTTGAAGCGTGGTGTTGGTGCATTCCAGGTCTTGCTCAGTCACCCCGGAAAACTTGGTATTGTAATCTACGATCTCATTGTAAGGCTTGACAAAAGTGTCATACACTACGTGCATCTCTTCATCCACCACGGTGACACGGGTCAGTTCCAAGCCCAGCGTGGTATAAGACATCTCACAATCGAGGGCGAAGATTCCCGGGTGGGCACCATTGGCAGATTCTTTGGAGGCGGTCTTCACAAACCCTTCGAGATTTTCTTTCCTGCCATCCTGAACGTGTTGCTTTGCAACCCGGCAACCGGTGGCTCCCATGATCGCCGAGCAGCAACTGTAACGTATGGTCCATTCACCATTCACGGGGCCGGAGAGGAGCCGTCCCCAGTGATAGCAACACTCTTCCTCCCGGACAACTAAGCCAGAGGAGGAAGACACCAGGTACTCGTGGCCGCAACGGCAGCAGACCTTGCAGGTGGGAGACTTTTTCTTGGGCTTGTCGGACGTGAAGAGGATGGCGTCCCCTTGGCGCTCGGGATGGGCGAAGGGGTACCCATTCACCTTGCGCTGGTCCTCGGTGAGCAGGTACTGCCGGAGGCGACTGTACAGGTCGGCCTTACTCAGATGTCGCAGGGGGCCGGGAGTGATCCGGGGGACCTCCATTTCCTCATGACTACTCACGTCGGTGGTCTTCTGGCTGGAAGCGGTGGCTGGGACCGCTTTCTCCTCCTTTTCCGCAGCCTCCTGTTAAGACAGAATTGGGAAAGGGGGGGGTGATGGGGGGGGGTCTGTGAGGCGTGGCGTGCAGGGTGCGGGGTGGGGGTGAACAACTCGAGACCCGCGTCTGATCATGGCGGTCGCCGACCGCGCCCACCCAACCCCCTCCTCCACTCAAACTTGGGCGTTGATTTCCCGTCGGCGTGGTGGCTTTCGAGAGGAAATGGAGTCGCCCCGGGCGGGCAGGCGATCATCCAGGGGGCCCAGCCCCTCTCCCGGTCGGAACGGTGCGTTCCCTTTCTGTCTGATGCTTTCCGTGGAAGGGAGGGCCCTGGCTAGGGTTACTTACGCTGCTCTGCGGCAGGGCGCGGCTGCGAGCGGCCTGCACGCGGGGGGCGGCGGCCGCCGGGCTGGTCTTGGACGCCATCCCCGACAAGGCGCGCATCTTGGGCGGCTGGTTGTTTGGCCGAAGGCCTTGGACCGGTTGTCTCCAGCTAGTCATGAAGCTCCTCTTGGCGCCCGAGGAGGAGGAGGAGGAGGAGGAGGGCGGGGAGGAGGCCGAGGCGGAGGAGGAGGAATGGCTGGAGGCGGAGGAGGCCCTGGGGGACGCCGCCGCCACGTTGGGGAGGTGGAGGACACTCCCCCTCGGGCCGGGGCGGGGACCCGCCGCCAGCCTCTCCGGGGGCCGGCGCTGGTTAGGCGGCCTCCAGACCGCCCACCTCCTCTGGGCCGGCGGGGGGCGCCCGCAGAACCCTTTCGGCGCAGGCCCCACCGCGGGGTTCCATCGCGGAGGTTCCCCCAGAATGCTGGCGAACCCGGGACATTGCCCGATTATCTGAGGTACCAGCAGGCCGCGGCCCCGGGCGGATGGATGAAAGGGAAGAAGTAGATCCGGAATCGGGGGGGCCAGGGCTTTGTGGTACGGGAAGTAGCCCTGTGGGAACCAGGCAGGTGCGCAGGGTTTCAAACTCATGTCGCCTCAGCGTTCTTCCAGGGGGGCTCCTCCGCTGCTCACGCCGCCTATGCCCACCACCACCGCCGGCTGCCTACACCGACGAGGACGCTCCGCCTGGCCCGTCCCCACGGCGTAACTGCAAAGCCTGCACGCGTGGCCTCCGCCTTTTATAGTAGAGGGCCGGCAGGGCGGAGGTGCCAGGCGTGGTGATTGGACCTGCCCTTTAATACCCCTCCCCCCGAGCGTGTCTTCCTCCCGCCCCTCTTCCACATCACTTCCGGAATCCCCCGGTGAGGGAGGGAGGGGTGGGCCCTCCACCCTCACCCCGGGGGGTTCCTCACACCCGGAAGTGTCCTGTCATTGAAGGAATTCCAAGTCGTGTTTTCTAACCACCGCTGCCGGCGCCCCTCCCCCATTGGGTTCTGCACCTGCTGCGCTTCCCGTGTCAACCAGCTGTGCCGCCATAGTGGCCCTCACCCACCTGACCAGCTGCGCAGCTGCACAGCTCCCCTCCGGGGGCACACGGAGACCTAAGAGTGGGGTGTGTGGGGGTGAGTGTGTGTAGTGTGTAAGTGGTCCAAGATGACCTATAACACACCCCTAGAGCCAAACTTTGGGCCTTCTACCTGATGGAGGCTGAGGAGATTGGCAGGTTATCATCCACCACCACCCCCCATCATTCAGTTGGCTCTTCCATGCTTTGTGCCCCTCTCCCTGGCACTTTGGGAGATGAGGGACAGAGGAGGAGGAAGATCCACTTCTCTTCCCTAGACACAAGCAGTGGTTGAATACAAGTAGAATACCAGGAGAACTTTTTGTTTCTTCAAGGAGGTTGGGCTGGGTAGACAAAGGCCTGACAGTCTCCTATACCCTACCAAATCTCTCTTCTGCCAGCCTCTAACCAAGACTCAAACCAAGCTTTTTGGTGTGTATATGCCAATCCTAGGGCTTTCAACGCAAGGCCTGGACGCTGTCCCTGAGGTATTTTTGTTTGTTTTTGTTTTGTTTTGTTTGTTTTTGCTCAAGTCTAGCACTCTAAACCACTGGAGCCACAGCTCCACCTTGGGCTTTATGGTGATTAATCAGGGATAAAGAGTCTCACGGACTTTCCTGCTGAGGCTGGCTTTGAACTGCAATCCTCATATCTCTGCCTCCTGAGTAGCTAGAATTACAGGCATGAGCATCAGAAGTAAATGGAAAGACTTGGGAAAAATTATATTACACAAAATAAGCCAGACCCAAAGAAACATAGGCTGCATGTTTTCCCTCATTTGTAATCATTAGAATGTGCCTATAGTCTACAAGTAAATCCAGTGGATAGCATAAAGACGAAAAACACACTTGGACATGATTAAACAGGGCTCTAAACATTCACATAGTGAGACCAAATGAGGATATTCTAGAAGATCACAAGGGTTCAATAGCTATGTGCATATGATCATATAACATGATGTTTATTGAAATGAACTCTTTAAGAAATGGAAAGGAGGGATTTTTATTGTATTGTTTGCAGTTCTTTTTTTTCTTCTGTTTTTGTTTTCCCTTTTGTTGCTGTCCTTGATTTCTGTACCCTTTGTCTTGTATATAAGTGATGAGACAGAGGGTGAACTAACTCAGCAGTGATACTCACTAGACACTGTTGAAAGTAAACTGTACAACTTGGGAGGATGGGGTCGGGAGGGGAAAAACTGGGAGAAAATGAGGGAGGGAGTGATACTGTTCAAAAAGAAATGTACTCAATACCTGACTTATGTAATTGTAACCCCTCTGTATATTACTTTTACAATAAAAAGAAAAAAATGTAAGAGCTGGAGGCATAGTGCAAATGATAGAGAACTTAATTAGCATGCTCACAGCCCTAGGTTCAATCTTGACCTGGGAAGGAAGAAAGGAAAGGGAGGAGGAAGGAAGGGAGGGAATGAGCGAGGGAGGGAAGGCAAGCCTACTTGAAAGAATTATAAAAGGGAGGGAAGGCAGGCCTACTGGAAAGAATTATAAAAGGGAGGGAAGGCAGGCCTACTTGAAAGAATTATAAAATCACTAATAAAAACTATTAAATGGACATTAAACTCATGGGACATAAATATACAAATTATTACAATTTAAAACTTCATCTCAAACTAAAAAGTAATTTTTTCATTAATTTCAAAATCACAAATTAATTAAAATCTACCAGTGGCACTGACTGTGAAAAGGAAGCACATTCCTAGCATTCTATAATTTGGCTTCCAAACTGTAATGCTCAAAATTGCTATAATTTTGACTTCCAAACTATTTTTTGAATCCTGGTATGCCATTGAATGAATTTGAATAACTTTCTTAGACTTTCTAAGTGTGTGCATTTCTATAAAAATAGCACACTCCTTAGGATTTTTTGTTGTTGGTGGTGGTCATGGGACCTGAATTCTAGGTCTAGGTGCTGTCCCTCAGCTCTTCTTGGTGCTAAGGAATAAAACCCAGGGCCTCATGCATGCAAGGTAAGCACCCTACCACTGAGCCACCTTCCAGCCCCTCCTTAGGATTATTTAAAGATTTATTTTTTTGTTTTTCAACTTTTGTACTGGAAATTGAATTCAGGACAGTCACCCGTCTACCATCTAAGCCACGCCTCTAATCCTTTTACTTTTACTTTGTTTTTCAGAGGGAGTTTCAAACTTTTGCTCTGCCAGCCTTAAACTTCAGTCTTCTTACCTCTGCCTCATGAGTAACTTGGATTACAGGTATGTGCCACCATACCTGGCTAAAAGGTTTGTTTTTTAATAGGTTTTCTTGAGCAATTTTTATGAAATGTCTAAAACATATTAGGCACTTATTATATATACTATAAAGAGAAAATTAAACCATTAAATACTGTCCTCAATGAATTCAACCTTGTGGCACAAACAGTGAGATAACAAAGATTTATAAAGTCATATTGTATTTTCAATAAAGGAAGTTGCAAGGGAAAAGAAAACAAAAAGGAAAATAGTAGGTAATATAGATTGTGCATGTAATCCCAGCTGTTCAGGAAACAGAGGACTATGAGTTCCAGACCTGCACAGGTAAAGCTAATGAGACTATATCTCAAAAATAAAGTATAGTTAGGTACAGTGGCTCTAACCTGTAATGCTAACTTCTTGGGAGGTGGAGATTGGAGACTCATAGTGCAAATGGTAAAGCATTTAACTAGCATACTCAAAGCCATGCGTTCAATCTGGACCTAGGAAGAAAGAAAGGAAAACAGGAAGGAAAAATGGAAAGGAGAGAGGGCTGGGATCTGAGGATCACAGTTAGAAACCAACCCAGGCAAGAGACAGTTTTTCATGAGACAATTATCTCCAGTTAACCAGCAAAAAGCCTGAAGGGGAGCTGTTGCTCAAGTGGTAGAACTCTAGCCTTGATCATGAAAGCTCAGGGACAGCCCCAGAATTCAAGCCTCCAGACTGGCACATTCACACAGACACACAGACACACACACACACACACACACACACACACACACACCTGAAAAAGATTGATCAATCTTGATATGTAAATTAATCAGGCACTTTTGGTATATAGAATAAATCTGATTTAAGTTTTATTCAAAAATTGTACAATTGATGGCAAAGTTGAAATTGAACCACTAAAATTCAACTAAGCCATTAAAATATAAAGGAGTATGGCACTTCCGGTGTGTCTTACAATGTTAGAAAAATAGGACTAAGAATGGTATTTCACTCCTGTAATTTGAGCTACTTGGGCAAAATGTTAGCTACAACACATCTTAACAAACAAGGCAGGCAAAGTAGTTCTTGTCTGTGATACCACGTAAGGGGCAATATAGATAGGAGGATTATGGCCTGAGGCTAACTGAAGGAGAATGACAGTCTGTCTGAAAAATAAAGCAAGGCTAGGGGCATGGTTCAAGTGTATTGTCAAGGGTCAGTACAATTTTTTAAAATGCATTAATAAACACATTTCAGCCATATTTTACCCTTGAGGAAATTTATAATATTCAAGTCAAGATCTACACAATACAAATATGCATAATACAAGAAAATAATGCAAACTGTATACAAAATAATACAAGCTTGTATATTACACATGCCAAAACTACATAATGAAATGCAAATAGTCCATAAGCAAAGAGAAGAGCTATGGATTTCTTCCTTTCTTTTTTTTTTTTTTTGCCCAAGACCAGGACTCAAACTCTTGATCTAATGCTTTCACTCTACCACCTGAACTGATGTTTTCGCTCTACCATCTGAAGCTCTACCACCAGAGCCATGCATACAACCCCCAGGTTATGGATTTATAAACACAAATTGTTTGTTTGTTTTTTAAAGATATCACCTGGAAGACTCAAGCTTTAAGTAGGTCAAGAGAAAAGCAGTAATGAAGGCATTCAGCAAACACATGCATGGAATATGGGGAAAAGTTCATGGACAACTAGACTTTGACATTGAGTAGCATAGGTTCAAGTTATCATAAACATATCCTCGATGCTAAAGAAAGAAGAACCTTTAAACTCTAGGTTGGTAATTTTTTTATTAAATCATGGAACTAACTAGTTAGTCTTCACTGTA